AAAGCGAGAGATAGATATAGCTCTACATCTATTATAGTAGATACCATATCAAGCCTCGTTTTTTTTACATCTCTCTCTCTCTCTCTCTCTCTCTCTCTCTCTCTCTCTCTCTCTATATATATATATATATATATATATATATATATATATATATATATATATATATATATATATATATATATACAGAGAGAGAGAGAGAGAGAGAGAGAGAGAGAGAGAGTTTTTAACAAAAAGAAAAGGAAATGTTGATTTTACGACGAGTTAAACTTACGAGTGAAGCATTGAGAAATGCTACTTCAGGATCTAAAGTTCCGGTTTGCATCAGATCAACAAGTTCTCTACATAAAAGAACAGACGACCGTAAAAATAATTCAATCAATCGATAATGTAAGAGGTGCAGTGCCAAAATTCGTTATTAGAAATGCAAATTAGTAACCGGGAGAATCTACGTTGAACAGTTTAACTGCTGTAATGAGAAAAAGAAAAAAAAGAGCAAATGTAATACCACTACCGCTTCTTCTACTTATAGGGGTGTGAACGAGCCGAGCTCGAGCTCAACTAATTGTAATCGAGTTCGAGCTTTTGTCGAGCCGGGGGCTCAACTCGTTAACTCAAACAACGTCAATTAAAATAGTATTTTTATGGGTGATGTTTATCTTTCTGGACGAATTAAATGTTTCAGGAATTAAAGATACGATTTTTTTTTTGAAGAAACTGTAATTCTGAAAATAATATAATCCCAAAGTTATACTACGAATGATGAAAACTAAAATTTGAAACCAATTTTCGCATTTACAGAATTGCAAATGTTAGCAGCAAGCAAAATCAAAATGAAAATTGTATTAGCATCTCAAACTACGAAGAACAACTACAATTTTTTTTTTCAACACACGGAAACGCAGAAAATATTACATGAGAAAAGAATAATTAATTACTTGGAGTTGGTGACGTCGACGAAGAGAGCAAGAGAAAGGGTAGTACCGCCGCCGATCTCGAAAGTTTTCATGGCTGCTGAGATGGGGTGAATGAAGAACGGATAAAATGAAATGATTTTTGTTTTGTTTTACGGAAATTGAAAAAGGTAAAAAATTAGTGGCGATTGAGTGATGAAATTAGGGTTTTAGGGTTTTCCGAAATCGAAAATTAATTAAATAAAAATGAATAAAATTAAAAAAAAAAAAAAAAGAGAAATAAAACGCGCCAGGTAGGGGTCGAACCTACGACTTTCTGCTTAGGAAACAGACGCTCTATCCACTGAGCTACAGGCGCTTGTTGTTTCTCTTTACTCTATTAAAGCTTTAAATCTTCTTTGAGATTTTCGAAATAAAATATTGTATATACCAGTTCGAACTGATTTAATAAAAATAAATATACTTGGAACTATCTACATTATGTACTTTAATTCTGAAATTTTAATTAACTTATGCATTAACTTTATAGGAGATTGTAATTCAAACTTTTGTTTATTAATAAATTTTTGTGATTTCACTTCAAATTTGATTGGACATAGTGCAAAAGGCATACTGAGTTGATTTTCTAAGGCCCACCAAGTAATATCCATTATGGCTGTACATGTTAAGCTCATCAAAGTCAAATATTTTTACTCGTCAAACAATAAAAAGTCAAATATGTTACATAAACATTTATTTTTAAATGTTACACCGGTGAAATATATGAAGTGCCTTTGAAATTATGAGGCTACCCGCTACTTAGCTAGGGGTGGAAATTCGAACGGAAATTTCGATTCTCATCGATTTTGATCCAAAAAAATTCTATTTCCTTACAATATTTTTCATTCCAAATCCTGAAATTTCAGGTTTTGATTTTTTTTCTACTGTTCTTTGTTCGGAATTGAAACATATATGATATTCTGATTTCTGATCTGATTTTAATTTTCGAGAAGTCGCAATTTTTTTTTCTCCCAAAACTTAACTTATAATGTCAATTTTGTTAAGCATTTTATATGTTAGGCAACTAAAACAATTGGAATTTTTCTAATTCCGTTGATTCTTATCCAAAATTTTCTGAGTTTGGAATGACTTTTTTCGTTCGAATTTATGAAAATACGAATTCCGATTTTCCTTCAACAAAATTAGAATTACATTTTCACTTTCGAAAATAATCAAAAAAAGATATTAATTTCGATCTGATCCATCTAATTTACATCGCAAATAATTTATCCACAAACTAAAGCTCGATCGAGTACAAATAATACTCGAGAAGTTTCCCGAGAATATAGGGCAAGATGCTAAGTACCAAAACCTTAATATATATATATATATATATATATATATATATATATATATATATATATATATATATATATATATATCCATTGATGTAACAAAGAAAATCGTGCAAGAGTAACATAAATAAATAGTTGAATCTAAAATTAGGAGTAGTAATAAGACAAAGGTTGTTCACTAAATGGGAGACAAATAAGAACCACAAAAATTACCTAAGTTTTCTCCACCTCTTGACGATGGGTTTTGGCCATTTATTTATTTAATTTTAATTTTCATGGGGAATATGCTAATCAATAAATAAATAAAAACCATTTGACTAAGATTTAACCATGTGAAATTCAAACTTAAGTAGTATTGGAAATACTTATCCGAGATTTAAATTATATTTGTCAGAGCAATTGACAGTGAAGCAAGAGACCATAATTATTATTTTGTTTAAAGATAAATTAATTAATTAATTCACTCTCCCATGTTATAGAGTACTCTAATTTTCACTAGAATTTTGGCCAAGGTCCAAAAGTTGTTACTACAATTAGAATTAAGTCATGTATTATGTATATAGGTTCATGCAATGTTCAATCTAATCAATGTATATAACCGGGGTTAGAAGGGTGATTAGTCGTCTCGTAAATTAATTATGTCAAAGATAAATATAAGATGGGATTTTTTGTTAGTTGATCAAAACCAAATTTTGATAATAATTAGAGTTGTTTTCTAAATCAAAGAGTTCAAGTGTAAGACGGTGTTTGCAAAAGTTTTTGAAAAGTGATTCTGAGCTTTTTTGGACTTAGAATTACTTTTAAAATATTTACAATACCATTTTTACTTCTACTTCTTTTAAAATAAAATAAACTGTTTTAAGCTAAAATATGAATAGCATCCAATGAACCAACCTCTCCTAAAATAAGTTGTTGGAAATTGATTTTTTATGAAATTAGCAAACTATAGTACAACTTTTAGAAATAAATAGTTATTATTAATTTAAATCGGTTAATTGAAGTTATTAATCTAAATTAATCTAGATACTGTTGTGCCAACTGTGCCAACATGAAGGCACAATTTACACCATGTCCGTTGTTTTTGGGCGGCTGCTTTGTGCTTCGAAAAGCCAATAAATTGTGACTTTAACAAAATTTGTTCAAAAACATTTCATCAATTTTTTTTTTTATTTTTTTTTTTCACTTTAGCACTTTAATTTGATTGTATGTAATATAACTTTAATGGGATGAATGATTTGTTATTGGTCCAACGTCGAAAATTGATAAATTTTATACATTGTTCATACGTGAAACATAGCGAATATATATATCCTCGTTCTTTAAATTAGTCTTTTACGGTTTTTTCAGATGAATTCTTCTACCCAAACCGATTTATGCTGGCATTATAGCGTGTTGGTACCTATTTAACATGATTATTATACTTCATCTCCGCGTTTTATAACAGGGAGTTAGATGTTACAGCTATTTGTTTACACTGGATTGATTTCAGCGGCATATCTGATTAAATAACAATTGATTAAGTACATATACACATGCGTTTGTGTGATTATGTGTAGATATATAGATTTACGGTTGAAATTCATCCAATGTAAGTAACCAGATTTAGCATGTAATTACCCTTTTCGAACTCCAAAAGAACCCGATGATTGAGGCCGTTTTGTCTTGAATAGCCTATAGTTTTTCTTTAATATTTTTCTATATATATAAAAAAAAATTGAAAATTCCTATGTCCACATGCATGAAGCATGGAGCTCCAATATATATATAAAATCACATTGCATGTGTGTACTCCAACATTTAGTACACCAAAATCAAGAAGAAATCCAAACACTTCCCAATTATGGCATATTTCTTAAACATAATCAACAAAGATCAAGAAAATCAAAGCCTCTACAATAATCCAAGAATCTCATTCTCAAGTGATTTTGGTGTCTTTCCTCAACTAGAAAACACCTATCGAGAAGCCCCCGTTTCTTCCGATTTCGAGTTTTCCGCCCCCGATTACAACTCCATGAGTATCTCAGCCGACGAGATTTTCTCCAACGGAAAAATGTTGCCGTTGAGTACTCGAAATAGTAATTGCCCAAAAGTAGGCACTACTCTTAGAGACGAGCTTCTTATCGATGACGAGTATAAAGGTGTCGCATCTTCGAAGGGTATACGAAGGTGGAAGAACATGTTAGGGTTGAAGAGAAAACAAGGTATTGAGAAAAGTATTATTAATGGCAATTTGGGAAGAATTGATGAAATGAAGATATCAGAGATGGTTTAATTATGCGCATGTTAGCACTTTTTTTACTTTTATTTTTGATAATTAAGGTATATGTTAGCATTGGTAAGTGATGATTTGTGAAGTTAGTTGTTTTGTGTGTTATTAAAGTATTGCTAATTGGTAAGTGATGATTTGTGAAGTTAGTTGTTTTGTGTGTTATTAAAGTATTTATTTTTTCCTTTTTTTAGAGGAAGGTTCCTCTTTTTTTTTTTTTTTTCTTCTTTTGTATTGCTGCTAAGGTTGGAGAAAATAATGTAAGGTTTGGGTGGAATGGAATGCAATTTTCGTATTCTACAAATTTCGATCTGAAAATTTTCAATTTTGGAATAAGTATTATCATTTTGATTTTTCGATTTTCTTTCTACAATTTTCGAATTGGAATCGGATATATACAAAGCAATTGGAAATTCTAATTTTCTGTCCAATTTAATTTCAGAAAATTTAATTTCTCCACAAATATATTACAATACCAATATTATTACATATACTTCTTTTAAGGATTCTTTTTTCTTTTGTAATTACATATTTATAAGATTTATTCTGAATATAGTTTATACAAGAGAAATTAATGAATTTGCAATTAGTTTAGTGCCTTCATTCTTCAATTACAAAACATGGTCATGATTCTAACCAATAAAAAAAATATTTAAAAATAAATAAAAATAGATTCCCGATGGAGCACAAGCGATTTCCTTAAAATCGGGATCGTTCTTCGCACAAAGAGCATCAATTTCGGCATCAATCTTTTCAATCCGAGCTCTCATCTACTTCCTACAGCTTCGTCTCTACTACTACTACTCGATTCTCTTCAACTCAATATCAGCTCCATATTCACGGAAAACAAGAATCAGCTTACGTATTCGAACACGTAGAAATCCAACCACCATTCCTATTTCCTCAAACCCTTTCAAAGTCTTATCCCAACCCTCCATTCGAGTGAGGCCCGTCTTAGGATCGACGGCCCTGATCGAATCTGCTTTCTTGATCATTTCAGAAATCATCTCGGCCGCAAATATACCGTTAAGCCCCCGTACGAGATTCTCGTGAAGAAACATGTTTTGACTCTTGCAGAGCTCGTAGTATTTTGCTCTACAGTCTACAAAGAGTTGGTATTTCGGAGTCGAGAATTATGCCATCTACGTAAATGCTGAAATCTTTAAAGCCCTTTAACTCTTTAAAACTGACGACAGAATATTCCGAGGATCTTTTGTCTTTCGGAACGGGCTTATTACGAATAGGGATTAATCTTTCTGTCTTTTGTGACAGGTACTCGAGATATCTATCCTTTTTAGTCTCTGTGATGTCTGTATTTTCTTCTTCTGGTTCTGTTTTCACTAACAAAATAAATCTTCGCGAAATTTTAAAAAATTCAATAGTCTATTTGGGAAATAACGAATATAAAAGGCGAGACTAATACATGGAACTTGCATGGAAATCTTGATTTGGAGCGGTCGTAAGTAGAACCATCGACTCGTGTTAATCTTGCAGCTTTTGCTATGCATATCTCCATAAAACAAAATAAAAATTACAATTAGAGCAAAACGAATCAATGTATTTATAATAATCGAGAAGTATTAAAGTCGTACGCAATTTTCAATTTAATTTTTCCTCATTTGAGGAGCTTCGATGACTCACCAACCAGAACCGTTCGGTTACATTGGATTTGTACATAGGCTTCATAAAATTAGGGAAATTTGGTGACAGATTTTCTTGAATCGCTCGTGCTCGATCCATACAAGAGCTTCGCAGACCAAAAGAACTATTATTACAAATAGACATAAATAAAACGGTTCAACGAAACAAAATTCAGATCCGAAGCATGAAGATCGCTTATCGATGATATAGTGTTTATATATACGAACTTCATGCATTAGTCTCCCAATTATGGCATCTACAATTATTATGCTTTTGGTTTTTTTGAATTGTCTATGTATCACCTCACTGTAAATAGAGCCTTTTCACCATGGAGCACAAGCAATTTTCTTAAAAACGGGGCCCACGCCCTCGTTTTTCACACTACGAAGAGCATCAATCTCGTCGTCTATCTGTCCAATCCGATTCTCAACTCTCCAGAGCTTCACATTTAGAGCTATCCTCTCTTCTTCAGCTTCGTCTCTCTCGATTCTCATCAACTCGATATCAGCTCCGTATTCACGGAAAACACGAATCAGCTTACGTATTCTAACACGTAAAAATCCCACCACCATACCTAAATCCTCAAAAGCCTTCAAAGTCTTATCCCACCCCTCCATTCGATCGGTGCCCGTCTTAGAATCGGCGGCCCTGATCGAATCGGCTATCTTGATCAATTCAGAAATCATCTCGACCGCCAATTTACCGTTAAGCCCCTGTACGATATTTTCGTGAAGAAACATGTTTTGACTTTTGCAGAGCTCGTAGTATTTGGCTTTACAATGAGTTGGTATTTCGGAGTCGAGAATTCGGGCATCTACGTAAATGCTGAAATCTTTAAAGCCCTTTATGTCTTTAAAACTGACAAGAGAACATTCCGAGGATCTTATGCCGTTTGGCTTACTAATAGGAATTATTTTTTCCTTCTTTTTTGATCGATACTCGAGATATTTATCTCTCCTGGTCCCGGTATTGTCTGTATTTTCTTCTTCTGGCTCTGGTTTCACTAAATAATAAATATTGGCAAAAAATTGTAAAATAATTCAATTTATTGGGGATGTAACGAAAAACAGGACTAAGATGTAAGGAATCACGTACCTGCCTCGACTGGCTCACGGTGAAAATGATCTTGATTTGGAAGGGTCGTAGTAGCTTTCGCAATGTATATCTCAATAAAACAGAATAAAAATACAATCAGAGAAAACTGATCAATGTACGAAAAAATGGGATTTCGAATAGACCAACAAATTATCTTGATCGCATCCAATTCCAGAAAAATGTTTAACTTTATTTGCCACTTTCACCAAGAAAAGAAAATTTTCAACCTGAGAAATATTAAAATCGGAACAATATGATTATAAACTAATTCATTACAACCTTAAATATATCAAGCAAACGATATTCGATTTCCATGTTGTGCTACATGTTGCTCACACTCCATCTATCTATTGTTCTCTATATAAGCTTTTAATTTTGCAGCACCATTAAGTAATTATACCGCACCAATTCTGAAAATTTTAAAAAACGGAAACGATAAAAATAACAAAAAAAAAATCCGTGCAATAAGTTAATTTTACCTTAAACTTGCACGGCTCAATCAATTGAAAAACCAAAACATCTCCCTCGCGCAATTTGTGTGCAATCGAGAAACTTTTCCATCCAGAACTTAGTGTGTGGCTCCCCACCAAGTATTCAGTTTTATACCCTCGATCATTTTCATCCAACAAAACCATCCAACCATCTTTCTTCGGTATATTTGCATGGCAAAACGGCTTTGGAAGAATCTACAATTAAAAATAAATAAAAAATCGTATGGCTTTTTTATTTATACTTTTGATTTCTTTTTTCATTCCAACTTTGATGACTCACCAGCCAGAATTTTCTAGTTACATAGGATTTGCGCAAAGTCTTCAAGAAATTAGGGAAATTTGGTGACAGGTTTGCTTGAATCGCATGTGCTCGATCCATACAAGAGCTTCGCAGACAAATTAAAATTAGTCAAAAAAATAAAATAAAATAAGCAGTTTACGAAACAAACACAGATATAAAAAGCACTTATTGATGATATAGTCTTTATAAGAACTTAAACCATTGAACTTACCATACGATAGGCCTATTTGTACTCACAGTCACAGAGTCTCCCTGCTCAAGCATTAACAAAAGAATCCAGCTGTGACTTTTCATTTTGAAATCCAAATACAAATTTCTGTTTCAAACTATATTACTTAATATGAAAACAGCCCCAAAATTTGCGAAACAACATGAATCGAATAGAGAGCATTTCTGTGGGCCTTGTTTGGGAGCTAGGATAGATGAAAGTTTATCAAATATTTGGGGTTTAAATTTCCAAAAAAAATAAATAAAATCACGTAACAAGTACTACGCAGTACAAGTATAATACAATCGCGTAAACCCCCAAAAATGAAATAATATATGAAAGATTCTTACATTTTTCTTCTGATTGGTAAGATCTATAAGCGCCCCGACCACCTTTTTCTTAAAATTCTTTTTCTTAACCTCCGATGCAGTTCTCTTAGAACTTAGTGGTTCCTTCTTTTGTGCTAGGTATTTGTGATATTTATCTCGATCTGTCTTAATGGGGTCTGAATTTTCTTCTTCTGGCTCTGTTTTAACTAAACAGTAGTGGCGAAATTGTAAAATGCATCAACTTCTTTTGGGCAAATAAAGAAAAAAAGATACGAATATGTGGAATCACATACCTGCCTCAATTAGCTTACGGTGAAAATGATCTTGATTTGGATCATCGACTTTTGTTAATATTGTATCTCTTACAATATATACCTAAAAAAAGAAAAATATGCAATCAGCGATAAGAATGGACTATACTATATTTCCGTGCTTAATTTTGCAGCACCATTAAGCAATACCACCAATTCTGAAATATGTAAAAATGGAAAGAACAAAAATAACAAAGGAATTTGTGCAATAAGTTAGCTCAACGAAATTCTACCTTAAACTTCCACGGCTCAACCAATTGAAAAACCAAGACATCTCCCTCGAGCAATTTGTTTGCAGTCGAGAAACTTTTCCATCCAAAAGTTAGTGCGTATCTATCCCTCACTTCCATCATGTACTTCGTATCATGCAATTGATCATTTTCATCCAACAAAACTATTATACCATCTTCCTTGGGTAGATGTGCGTCACAAAACAGCTTAGGTAAAGTCTACAATCAATTAAAAGAGAAATTCGATTCAATTTACATGGATTCTTTTATACAACTCGAGATATTTTTTTTTCTTCTTTATGCCCTCATTTGAAGAGCACTTGCACAACTTAGACTGACTTACCAACCGTTGTTTTGTAATTACATGCGACATTTGCATAGGCTTCACAAAACTAGGGAAATCTGGTGATAAGTTTGCCTGCATCGAGTGTGCTCGATCCATAGTAGGGTTTTGGAGACCAAAAGAACTATACGAATAGGTAAGAAAATAATTCAACGAAATAAATACAGATATACAAATATCACTTGCAACAACTTAAAGCATTGCACTTACCATACGATAGCTTTATCTGTACTCACAGAGTCTCCCTGCTCAAGCATTAATAAAAATTTCTCATATGTCAGAGAAAAATCGAGGAGAACAAAGACTAGTAATTTCATCCTTCAAACGATACGAAATTAGTCGAAATTACTACCTACTCATATTAATTACCAAGATGCCCGATCACAAACTCGTAATTACGACATCTAAAGCATATAATCAATCCAGCTGTGACTTTTTTCATCTTAAAATCCAACATAAATTTCTGTTTCGAACATAAATTATGTCACATTAGACGCCCGTCTTCGTGTTTTCGTGGTATCGAAATACGAAATCAAAAAACATCTGGAAGCAGCATATATATATAACTTAATGTAAAAATCCACAAAATTGGCAATCGACGTAAAATTAAACAGATCAAATCATTTCAGTAGGAATTGTTTAGGAGCTAAAATTAGGTTACAAATCAAATATTTGGGGTTTAAATTTCCCAAAAAAAAAATCACGTTACAAATTCCAGAAAATGAAATAATAAGTGAAGAATTCTTACATTCTTCTTCTGCTTGGTGAGATTCAGTAGCCTCTGCTCGGCCGGCTTTTTCTTAAGCTCCCATGCAGTCCTCTGTTTAAGCAGCTATAATTAAAGTATTAATAACAAAAGAAAATAAATAAGTAAAAGATTAGCATTTTCTAGAGAGAGAGAGGAGAGAGAAACCATGCATGGAGTCGGAAGAAGAATTAGTAGCATGGCTTCGTTTCGAACCAGCCATTGAAGAGAAAATGGCGTCGATCGATCGTAGAGTTTAGAAGAAGAGCTGCTGATTTTGTTCATCTTTTTGCAGTATTGTAAAGTTGGTCATTCTCTTTCCAAATTGGGGGGAAACTTCTAGAACTCTCTAGATAATTTATTTATAATTTGTTTTTGTTTGTTTTTTTTTTTTTTTTTTGTCTTTTTAGTCCCATCTTCATTTCATTTTACAAAAATACCCCACATGGGAATAATGTGGGTGCGTTTCTGTGATTCTCACCGAACCGGCGAACCGGCCGGTGAGACCAATCTGAAACCGTTCAAATCACCGTCAATTTTCAAAAATTTACTGTTAAGTTTTCAACCGATTTCAGAAGTTCAGTGTCGGTTTTCCGCATAATTGACAATACATAAGCTTATGTGAATTTTCATCCAATTCTCAGAAGCTTTACGTCGATTTCAACTAATTTTCACAAATTCGCTGCCATACTTGATAGAAAGAAAACTCAAATTAATAGGCGTGCTCTCTCTCTCTCTCTCTCTATCTCTCTTGTGACATTCGTTGTAAAGCTTTATCATATAGCCGAGGCGCATAATTTGTTGCGATTTCAACGTTCGTTGTAAAGCATATGAATCTAACAGTTGTATTTGACATTAGTTGAAAGTTAATCCGCCACAGCATAGGTATTTTCGTCCATACGTGCAAAAGAAAGATGCTTGCGACTATTCATTCTACAAAATTTCTTATTCACATTAGTTCGTCCTTATGTTCACCTCTTCATCTATTTCTTCATGCACAACAGTACGTATAAGGATCAGACAATAGTTTGAACGTATTACCGTGAAACTGCATTCTACAAATAACCATCAAAACCGGACGGATATTTTAAAGTAAATTCGCACGACTTCCCCCAAAACCCCCAAGCATGTTTTATTCTACAAGGGGAGGCATTCCTATATCCCATTTGGCCTATGCGGATGATGTGATGATATTTACCTCGTGCCATAATTTTGGACTGAAGAAGCTGCGGGATTTTCTCGATCATTACTGTCGGACTTCGGGTCAGTTGATTAGTGTGCACAAGAGCACTTTCACAGTTGATAGGGCATGTTCTGATGGTCATCTTCGCACTATTTCTCGGATTCTCAGTTATCCGAGAAAGGATCTTCCTATCATTTATCTTGGAGCACCACTATACAAAGGGAGGGACCGGGGCAGTTTGTTTCACAATTTGCTTGATCGCATGCAAGCCAGGATTTCGGGATGGGCTCGGACCGCTTTGGCTTTCGGGGGCCGTCTTGCCTTGATCCGGAGTACGCTTTCGACTATGGCTTTGCATCTTGTTCAGGTTATTCAACCTCCGCAGTACATTATTCAGCAGATTGAGCAGTGCATGGCCCGATTTCTCTGGGGATCTTATGGTAATCAGCGCCGGCCTCATTGGGTTGCTTGGGAGACGATTTGTCGGCCAGTTGGTGAGGGTGGCTTGGGGTTGAGGCGTTTGACGGATGTGATTGACGCCTTCACTTACAAGCTCTGGTTCCGATTCCGTGCCCAGGATTCTCTTTGGGCCCGTTTTCTCCGAAACAAGTATTGTCGGAATCGGTTCCCAGGTTCATCCGTTGTGTCTTCACTCTATAGCACGGTGTGGAAGCGCATGTGCCGTGTCCGAGAGCGTGTTCAAGCTCAAATATTTTGGCGGATTGGTCCAGGTCATGTTTATTTCTGGCACGACCACTGGTTTGGCGATGGTCCCCTTTCGGGCATTATTGATGGTGGTCGGCTAACGTCAGTTCGTGTGGAGTATTATTTGGTTAACGGTCAGTGGGATCGAAACAAGCTAGCTGAGGATATTCCTTTTGAGTGGATCGATAGGATTTGCTCGGTCCCAATCTCTGGTGCTTCGGGTGATTTGCCCATTTGGAGAGCTTCTTCGGATGGCAAGTTTTCCTTGACCTCGGCTTGGGCCTTGATACGACAACAGCATACCCCTACCCCTCTTCTTCGTATATTTTGGGGATCTTGTCTTACTCCTACAATTTCTATCTTTCTTTGGCGTCTCCTTCTTCAGCGTCTTCCAGTGGATACCAAACTTCAGTCTCGAGGCACCTCTCTTGCCTCGAGGTGCTATTGTTGTCCAGATCCATCTATTCCTGTGTCGAGTCTTGTATCTCAGTCTGTCGAGTCTCCTTCTGTTGAGTCGATTGATCATATCTTCGTGGAGAGCCCGACGGCTAAGAGGGTATGGCATCATTTTTTCTATCTTTTTGGCTATACACCTGCACACACTACGCACATACCCCAGATTTTACTTTATTGGCAGCACTTCACTTCGCACACACTCACACACCACACACACATCACGACCATTGTGCCTTGCTTGATCTTGTGGTACTTATGGATTGCAAGAAATGACAGCAAGCACAAGGATATCACGGTTCGCGCTTCTTCCATCATTTACAGGGTCATCCAGCACATCGGGATTCTTCACCAAACCAACTTACTTTCGGCGGACAGCTGGACTGGCATTCCCCACGTGGCTGAGTCTCTTGGCCTATATTACCGAGTCAGAACACCAACTCTCACACCTCATCGAGTTGTTTGGCTTCCACCGGATCCGGGTTGGGTGAAGCTAAACACAGACGGAGCACGTAGAGCATCCACCCAGATTGCAGCTATTGGCGGGATTATCAGAGGTTCGGACGCTGAGGCCATAGTTGCATTTCACGAGAGGATCTCTGCCCCGAGCAGTATTGCGGCCGAGCTTGCTGCCCTTGCCTCGGGGCTGCGATTTGTTATTCAGAGGCAATTCACTAGAGTTTGGATCGAGCTTGACGCAGAAGTCGCTGTTCGACTTCTTTCGCACACGGACCAAGGTCATTGGAGTCTTCAGAGTTCTCTCACGGCGATCCGGAACTCTCTTTCTACTTTGGAGTACAGGATTACACATATCTACCGGGAGGGCAATAAAGTAGCTGATGCATTAGCTAACTTGGGGTGTCAGACCGAGTTGGCTCGTACCTTCACAACAGCGGAACTTCCCCGACCTATTCAGCAGATGATTTGGATGGACCAGCTTGGATATCCATCCTTTCGACGACAGTCTCGCACATAGGTGCCATGCATTCCACGTTTTTATATTATTGGCAATTTAGGAATTTTTGTGAACTTTACATGTTAGGAAGGGTTGGGGTGATTATGGATTGTTTGGGTCTATCAAGACTAGACTGTTTGCCGAATGGTGCCACACATTTCGCAGACGTTATACCTGTTTCGCCCATTTTTGGCGAAAGTGTAAGTGGCCTCGGCTGTTGTGGTGAGGCGAACGGTCTACCTTGGTCTTCCCCGACCTTCTATGATCATTCCCACCCCGTCCTTTTTATTATTTGGGCCACCTGTTTTGCCCGTTTTCTTAACCTTTTGTTAGTTACCTTTTGTCTTTTGTTTGTCAATTGCTATTATTAGCCATATGTTGGGCAGTAGCAATTTGAGCGAAACTCATTATGTACTTCTTAAATTTTGTTTTATAAACAGGTAGGGGGTCAAGCCTAACCCCCCACCCTCATCGGGTGTCGTTCTCTTGAAAAAAAAAAAAAAAAAAAAAACCTTGTGCCATCGGACAAAATTTGATGGGCACCGGGCGTGGTGCTCTATACTAGTATATATATATATATATAGAATAGATACATGAAGCTTCTGCATTTCACTAATAGCGTTGTTTCACCATGGAGCACAAGCGATTTCCTTTAAAACGGGGCCCATGCTTTCATTTTTCGCACTAAGAGCATCAATCTCGGCATCTATTTCTCCGATCCAATTCTCAACTCTCCAGAGCTTCACATTTAGAGCTATCCGCTCTTCTTCAGCTTCGTCTCTCTCGATTCTCTTCAACTCGATACCAGCTCTGTATTCACGAAAAACACGAATTAGCTTACGTATTCGAACACGTAGAAATCCAACCACCATTCCTATTTCCTCAAACCCTTTCAAAGTCTTATCCCAACCCTCCATTAGACCGGGGGCCGTCTTAGAATCGACGGCCCTGATCGCATCGGCTATTCTGATCGTCTCTGAAATCATCTCGACCGCCAATTTACCGTTAAGCCCTTGGACGAGGTTTTCGTGAAGGAACATATTTCGACTTTTGCAGAGCCCGTAGTACTTTTCTTTACAATCAGTTGGTATTTCGGAGTCGATAGTTAGGCCGTCTATGTAAATGCTGAAATCTTTAAAGTCTTTAAAACCAAGAAGAGAATATTCCAAGGATCTTTCTGTACCGAAGCTGTCACTGTAGGAAGCATATTCATCTCGAGCAGGCTTACGAATAGGAGTCGTTCTATCTGTCTTCGTCTTCTGTGATATGCGCTCGAGATATTTATTTCGAGTTCTCTCAATGGGGTCTGAATTTTCTTCTTCTGGTTCTGTTTTCGCTAAACAGTAGTGGCGAAATTGTAAAAAATCATCAATTTCTTGGGCAAATAGCGAAAACAAGACTAACAAATGTGGAACCATGCACGTACCTGCCTTGATAGGCTTACGGTGAAAACGATCTCGATTTGGACCATCGACTTTTGTTAATCTTGTATCTTTTACAATGTATACCTCAAGAAAACAAAATAAAAAATACACAATCAGGACAATACTATATGTACCGTTAAATTTATCTTGTCTCGTCTCCAATTTCAGACAGTGTATATATGATTCACGTTCCACATTCACCAAGAACAAGAAACTTTGCATTAGAACCTTAAACTATGTAAAAATGGAAACAATAAAGTTGCGCAATAAGTTAGATCAACGAAACTACCTTAAACTTGCAAGGCTCGATCAATTGAAAAACCAAGACATCTCCCTCGAGCAACGCGTGTGCAGTCGAGAAACTTCTCCATCCACCAGTTAGGTCGAATCTATCCCTCACTCTCACCACGTAGTTTATATTATACGATTGATCATTTTCATCCAAAAAAACTATCATACCATCCTTCTTCGGTAAATGTGCATCACAAAACAGCTTAGGTAAAGTCTACAATCAATTAAAACAACAATTCAATTCACATGGATTTGTATATATGCTCGAATTTTTTTATTTTTTATTTTTTTTAAATTGTTTGAAGAGCATGTGCACAACTTCGAACGACTCACCAACTCGAATTTTCGAGCTACATGCGATATTTGCATAGGCTTCGCAAAACTAGGGAAATGTGGTGACAGATTTGCTTGAATCGTCTGCGCCCGATTCATAGCAGAGCTTCGGAGACCAAAAGAACTACAAGATTACAGAAGAAAAAAAATTAGTTCAACGAAATAAACAAATATAAAAAAAAATCACTTCATTCAAATTTCCAACGAAATAGTCTTTACAAGAAATTAAAGCATTGCACTTACCGTTTATAAGGCCTATCCGTACTCACAGAGTCTCCCTGTTCAAGCATCAATACAAGTTTCTCATAATATGATCATAAATTACACGAAATTACGAAGCTGCCCAATCGAATAATCCTCTTCTTCGTTTTTCATCTCATTACGAAATCTAAAAATCACCGAATTCCAATTTCGTCTTAAAATCCACAAACTAATTTCTATTTTAAACTACATTTCATCTCATATTCCAATTTCGGATAGCAATCAGTGCAAACACCCCCAAAATTGCCAATCAACAAAAAATCAAATAGAGAGCATGTATTGATGTAGGCCTTGTTTGGGAGCTGAGATTAGGTTAGATAGATGGTATAATCAAAATTTATCAAACATTTAGGGTTTTAAATATTTTTTTTTAAATCTCAAATTACATACAAATACAACGCAATACAAGTATAATATAATCACATAAACCCCAAAAATGAAATAATAAGTGAAAAAATTCTTACATTCTTCTTCTTCTGATTGGTAAGATCCATTAGCCTCTGCTCGGCCGGCTTTTTCTTAAGCTCCCATGCAGTCCTCTGTTTAAGCCGTTATTATTAAAGCATTAAATACTAAACCAAATAAATAAGTAAAAGATTAGCATTTTCTAGAGAGAGAGAGAGGAGAGAGAAACCATGGAGTCGGAAGAAGAAGAAAACTAGCTACGTTTAGAACCAGCCATTGAAGAGAAGCTTCACAAGAGAAGCAAACAGCTTATAGAAAAGCTTATTGTAAAGTTGGTCGACTCCAAATAGGGGAGAACTTTCTAGAAGGGTGTATGTGCTTGCAAAATTGATTTTTGCTTTTGCTTCTCTTAAAATAAGTTGTTTTAAACTATAATTTTAAAAACAAGCACTTGTGTATCTGCCTTTTCTATTTAAATTGAATTTCCAGATTTTTTGCATACCCCAACTTTTAGAATTAAGTGTTTAATATCATGTTAACTCACAATTACTAACTTATGCTTTTAAATAAGCTTTTGCAAAGCGTTTAATATCATGTTAACTCACAATTACTAACTTATGCTTTAAATAAGCTTTTGCAAAAACTCAGGTGGTGTTTGCAAAAACTTTTACAAATAGATTATGAGTTTTTTTTTGTTCATAATCTATTTTTAAGTGTTTGCAAAATGAACTTTTGCTTTTATTTCTCCTAAAATAAGCAACTTTAAGTTATAATTTGTTAAGCATCCATAATCCTATTTTTTCTATTTAAATTTATTTTCCGGTAGATTTGCAAACACCTCCAAATTTAAAAAATAAGCACTTAAAATCTACTTAACTCACAGTGTAACTTCTGCTTTAATATATATATATATATATATATATATATATAATATAATATAACTAAAAATGCCCTTTCCACTAATGTTTGTGTCAGCATGAGTTTGGAAGCAATTGTCCATGTGGAGGAGATCCAGGTGTTGGCGACCTAAAATCGAATGCCATCGGCACTTGTGTGTGCTAAATGACACTATAAGGCTACGATTAATTTGAAATTACGACATCATTCAAATTGTAAATTGACAAATATATACACTAGTCACTATTGATGTTACAACAAGAGAGAGAGAGATCGATAATTTTCACCACGGGCAATGCGCAATTTCTTTAAAAACAGGATCGAGGCCCTCGTTTTCCGCAGCAAGAGCATCAATTTCGGAATCTATCTTCTCTATCCGAGTCTTAACTCTCGATAATTTCACATCAAGGGCTCTCATTTCTTCTTCTGCTCCATCTCTCTCCACTCTCTTCAACCGAACACTAGCTTGATTTTCACGAGAAATACTAAGCAGCTCGTGTATTCTAACGCGTAGAAACCCCACCACCATCCCTAAATCCTCGAAAGCTTTCAAAGTCTTATCCCAGCCCTCCATTCGCGCAGGGGCCGTCTTAGAATCGACGGCCCTGATTGCATCTGCTATCTTGATTGTTTCGGAAATCATCTCGGCTGCTAATTTACCATTTAGCCCTTGGACGAGATTTTCGTGGAGGAACATGTTTCGACTTTTGCAGAGCTCGTAATACTTTGCTTTACACTGAATTGGCATTTCGGAGTCGATGCTTATGCCGTCTACGTAAATGGTGAAATCTTTAAAGCCCTTTACGTCTTTAACATTGATGAGAGAATATTCCGAGGATCTTTTTCCGTTGGCAATTTCGCTGTAGTAATCGTGTTCATGTGGATATTCAGTGGGGTTCGTATTTTCTTGTTCCGGTTCTGTTTTCACTAAACAATAGTGGCGGAATTGTAAAATTCACTTTTATTGGGAAAAAATTAAGACTAAGAAGTGGAATTGCGTACCTGCCTCGATTGACTTGGGATGAAAATTTTGATTTGGAAGGGCCGTCGTAGTAGCACCGTCGACTTGTGTTAATCTTGTAGCTTTTACAATGTATACCTCAAGAAAACAAAATCAAAATACAATCAGAGAAACATATAAAAATCATATCATATTTACCGTTGAATTATCTCGTCTTGTTTGTTATCTATATACGCTTCAATTTGCGGCACGAACAAACGGAAATAGTAGAAAAATAACCGATTTTTTGTAATAAAGACTAAGGCGCAAACTGGAATTTACCTTAAACTTGCAAGGCTCGATCAACTGAAAAACCAAGATGTCTCCCTCGAGCAATTTGTGTGCAATCGAGAAACTTTTCCATCCACTAGTTAGTCTATTTTTCCCCACCGCATACTTCGTATTGTACTCTCGATCGTTTTCATCCGACAAAACTAATACACAACTTTGCTTTGGTAGATGAGCATCGCAAAACGGCTTTGGTAGATTCTACAATTGAAAAAAAGATAACAAAATAATTATAAAAAATAAATAGTCTTACGGAATTTTTATTTATCTGACGAGCAATTTCGACACTCACCAAACGAAACTCTCCGGTTACATGCGATTTGAGCAAACGCCTCAAAAAATTAGGGTAGAGATTTGTTGCAACTGCTTGTGCTCGATCCATAGCAGAGCTCGATTCATCAACACAACTACTATAATCGGGAAAAAAATAATTCAACAAATACTAAAAAAATTCAAACTTTATTTTAGTGAACAAAGACTTTTAATCTCATCTTCAAATGACACGAAATTAGTCGTAGTTAGTACCTAAATCACAAACTCATTATATTATATATTATGAAATCGAATCATATAAACAACACCAGGCTAATCATGTGTGACAAGCTCGACCTAGAAAATAGAAGAGCTAAAATCAAGTGTGAAAAGCATCCAATTTAATATATTGTTGCAAAAATGTAAAATTAAAACTAAAGTCACCCACCCTCTCAAAAACCAAAATTGAGTTAAATCAAGTTAAATTATGCTACAATTAAGAAAAATATGAAAGACCGATCAAAAAAAAAAAATAAAAAAAAAATATATATATTAAAGAGAAATTAAGAAGAATTTCTCACATCTTCTGCTGATTAATAAGATCCATTCGCCACTTCTCGAACAGCTTTAAGCTGTTACGGAGCAATTACACACTAAATTAAATGTATGTATAAATAAATAATAAAATTCACTGAAGACCCATTTTTGTGTTACCACAATTTGACATTGGAAGAAGAAGAAGAAGAAGAATTAGGGCTCACCATAAATTGAAGAGAGAGCCCGAATTTTGTTGATTTTGCGTTCGCAATAGCTGCTGATTTATTTTGATTTTTTAATTGTTTTATTTTCATTGAAGTATGTGAAGTTTGGGGGTTCAAACTTCAAACCCTTCACCAACACCACCGCTAAAACTCGTTTACCCGCGTCTCGTTTGGTTGACAAGATAAGATTAAATAATATAACAAAATCTAATTGTATTATTGGATATCGAAAGGTCCAACAAAAAATATGATAAAAGGCAAATAAGTTATTGGGATATCAAACATCAAATAAAGTCCAATTATTTGATTAATAATGACTAATCACCCCAACCAAACAAGGTCCAAGGCCATAGTTGGTTCGAGTGACAAATATTGCACCAAAAAAGTTGAAATCCCAGGCCCTGACGAATAAATATCAGTATTTTTTATATGCTAGTGTTAATATGCTAAGGTCTCGTTTGTTTACTTATATTGGATTAGATCGAATTAGATTAAATTTGATTAATTTTCAATTGTTTAACTAATTAATAAGTTAATAATATGATTGATTTTTTAGATTCCATGTTGTATTCAATTTGTTAAATTATGTTATTATATATAAATTGTCTATAAAGTTTTTTATTTAACAAAATTAAATTATTATCATAAGGATAAATTTGAAATTTTCAGTTTTAGTCAAAACCTACTAAATTAATCGTAAAGGGAGGGGTGTTACTAATGTCATGACGTAGCGGGCTTGAGTAATGGTGAATCCTACCAACCAAACATCTACTACTCAATTACGGACTTCAACTTAAACAAGGTAAACTAGCCGAGCTCGCCTTATTCCAATTAGGGGTGTAAATGAGCCGAGCTCGCCTTATTTCGTGAGCTCGAGCTCGCTAACTAGACACGGCCCTGGGGCGGGTCGGGTCCGGGTCCGAGTTTAAGAGGACCTGAAACCGACCCGCAAGGAGACGGGTCCACTCGGGTCCGGGGCGGGTCCACTCGGGTCCGAAACGAATTTTTAGGGGGTGTAAACGAGCCGAGCTCGCCTTATTTCGTGAGCTCGAGCTCACTAACTAGACACAGCCCTGGGGCGGGTCGGGTCCGGGTCCGAGTTTTAGAGGACCTGAAACCGACCCGCAAGGAGACGGGTCCACTCGGGTCCGGGGCGGGTCCACTCGGGTCCGAACCGAATTTTTAAGGGGTGTAAACGAGCTGAGCTCGCCTTATTTCGTGAGCTCGAGCTCGCTAACTAGACACGGCCCTGGGGCGGGTCGGGTCCGGGTCCGAGTTTTAGAGGACCTGAAACCGACCCGCAACAAGACGGGTCCACTCGTAGGGATGGCAATATTACCCGACCCGGCGGGTACCCGCCCCGCCCCGCCCCATTTTAGACGGGTAATACCCGCCCCGTTTAGGATTGGGGCGGGTAAGGGTTTTACAATTTATACCCGTAACGGGTAAGGGGCGGGTACGGGTATAGTAAAATCCCCCGTACCCGACCCGTTTATCACCCGTATTTTTTATTTACGTATAATACCCTTGTATATATTATTTTTCTATTTATTTTCTTTTTATTTATTTTGTATTAAGTATTGTCGAACATAGGTGACTGGGTGGCTTGTTAAAAGATAACGATGCTTGCTTTTAATTTCTGATATAATATGTTATTTTATAAAATGATTGTTGATTTGCATTTATATTTTAATTGTATTTAGTAATTAGTATATATATATATATATATATATTGGAAAAAAAAAACTTTTTTTTTAAGGAACATAACTAGAATTGATTTTTATATTCAAGAAGGAAAAGTTTAAATGGAAGAGAAAAGGAAAAACGGGTCGTCAAACGGGGCGGATACCCGCGGGTGTAAAATGGGTCGGGGGCGGGTTCTAAAATTCCAACCCGCAACGGGTATGGGGCGGGTGTCGGTTGCTGGATTTTGTAAACGAAGCCGGTGCGGAGCTTGCGATACCCGCCCCGTACCCGCCCCATGGCCATCCCTATCCACTCGGGTCCGGGGCGGATCCACTCAGGTCTGAACCGAATTTTTAAACTTTGTCCAAAATATGCTTTGAATGCTTTGTTAAAATAAACATCATTTTTAAATAATTATCTTATGATAAAATACTCAATAATATTAATAAGTTCTTGTCAACAATTGAGGTTAATCGATTTAAATTCATTGAAATGAGTTATAATCTATTTTTTTTAAATAAACATCTTATTTTATTTTTCATTCGATTTTTTCATACTACCGATTTTAATAACAAAAGTGAGTTTGTATTAACTCTACGCGTTTGTTTTGAATATTGAATTGATTCAACCCTATTTGTTTTTCAATAGTGGAGATTATATTGATAATATTAGGACTGGGACTGGGTTGGGTCGGTCAATTACCAGCCTAAGAACCGACCCATCCGTCAAACAATTTTTGCTAAAATTTGAAAACCGTTGCCGACCCAACCTTTGTGGGTCGGTTGATGGTTGTCAACCGAATATTTGGTTCCGGAATGAGTCGGTTGATGGTTTATACCCGCACCTAGTTTACTTAAAAAAAATTCAAAATTTGGAGTAAAAATATCCACATTTTGCGTAATGTCAGGGTGCGATCATCATTTATTAGTTCAAAATAATTAATAACAATTTACGGAAAAAATATAATTAGGAAATTCAAAGTAATTTCAAACATACACAAGAGATTTAGTGGAGTTTTGTGGGCTTTTGTTTAAGTTTGGGCATAAAGAAACTGGTGGAATATTAAGGTCAATTTTTTTTCCTTCGTTGATTGTTTTAAAATTTAAAATACTAATTATTTTGATAATTTAATAACCACTTAAGAAAACACGGGCTTTATTTTATATTTTTAATAAATTTTAATAGTATAGTTGGATAACCGATAATTATCGGTCAACCAACTTTTGATAATATTAGAAACCACCAACCGACCCATTATAGATGGGTTGGTTGAAATTTTCGACCGGATCCAATGGGTCGGTTAAAAATTAATTATCCGCCTAAAAATATGGTCGGTAATAGATCGGTTGGTGGATAAAAACCAACCCAGTCCCAGCCCTAATTGATATAGTAATTAATAATGGATGTTTTGAAGTATTGAACCGTGATTATATATATATATATATATATATATATATATATATATATATATATATATATATATATATATATATATATGGTCAACTGGGCGGGGTAGTCCACGGGTCAGGTCCGGGTCAAACCCGGCCCGTGGCCGTGTCTATCGCTAACTATACAAGGCTCGAGCTCGACGAGCCTATGATATTCAGCTCAAGCTCGTTGTGTTTCTAAGGAGCTCGAGCTCGTATACCAAACGAGCCCGACCGCGAGCTCGAGCTCGGCAGAACCAAATTTTCATTCAAATAGAAAAGTAATATGTGATATTGTTGAAATTTGATTTTAGGCATGAATATTGGAATTTCAATATTCAGTATTTTTTATTCTTTTCGTTTTTACTGACTATTAATTTCAATATTTAATTTTTCACCTTTCGGTGAAATGAATAAAAATACAGAACGAAAAAAACTCTATTCTTTATATTTTCCTTCTTCGACTATTCTCTCTTTCTCTCTATAACCATAGTTGCCGATGTATCTCTCATCTCTCTATGAGCCCATCGTCGCCGACGCTTCATTGTTTCCTCCAAAGATTTACCTCTAGCCCTCTCTAGTTTTTTTTCTAAACTCTAAGGTATGAATTTTTGTGTTTCTCAAATTAAAATTAAAAATTTCAGAATTTTGTTATGTGAAAGTGTGAATAGCTGAAAGTGATTCATTTTCGTATTTTATATTATTTTGAAATTTTAATTTGTAATATGTGATATTGTTGAAATTTGATTTTAGGCATGAATATTGGAATGTTTGTTGCTGCATTTTGATAGATGAATAGAATATATTTTTTAATTAATGTGACCGATATTGGCCGATAATTTTCAACCGACCCGTTAAGGCAACCGACAAAGTCGGTTGCCAATCATTACCCGACTCACAATAGTCGAACCGGTAATGATTTTACATATTTGTAAGGGTCGGTTAGTCGGGTCGGGCCGATAATCAACCAACCGAACCCATGAACAACCCTAAATAAACTTCTAGAAGTTCCCCCAATTTGGAATGAGAATGAACAACTTTACAACACTTCAACAAAAAAAATCAGCAGCTCTTCTTCCAAACCCTAAGATCGACGCCATAAAAGCTCTT